TATATATATATATATATATATTTTGGTAAAATCAGATATAAGCAAATTAATGCACCATTAATTGTTAATTTACACAATTTTTGAGTGTTCACTTTCAATTTTTTATTTTATTTTTGGTTATAAATATGAAAAATCTAGAAAAGTAATATACAATAATATAATAGATGACAAATCTATAAATCTATATGTATATCTATATATACATATAATTATAAACAAATAATTAATGACAAACTTTTTATTTTTCAACTCATTTTCCAGTTAATTATGATAATAGACCATTAGACTTTATATTAATTAAATAATAATTATATTATTTTAACTATTATATCAATAATAGTTATTATTAAAACTAAGTAACTATGTTGCACACTAAATAGTATATTGAAATTACATAAATATTAAAACTAAGTTACAAAACTTTTTATTCAACCTATTTATTCTAAAATTAATATATATATATACATATTTTAAAAAAAAAAAACTAATTGGTTGTATAAGTATAATCAAATATCATAAAACTGTATAAATAGCTGCAATTATAATTTTAGTATTTTTAGCTAAATCACGGTAATGATACCCCAGAATTCAAAGAGTTACATTATTCGTTGTTTTTAAAAATATGTGAGTGTATGAATAGTGAATTAAAATTGATATTATGCAGGAGAGATGATTGATAATATTTAATTATATTGATAATATTTGAGATATGAGTTTAGTCAAATTTTGAATTAAAGTGAGTAAAAAATATGATCTAATAAAATTTGATTTTAACCAGTTTTAAGACACTCGAACCCATGAAAATTTAGGGAAATGCTAAGGTCCCGTTACGGAACCATTTCGTTGGGAGTTTTATCCATTATGCACATGCAGTTAATATAAGATAGATGATCTAATGGTTAAAACTTCCAATAGAATAATTTCATAACGAGATCTTAGCATTTCCTTAAAATTTAATGCAATTGACTATAGTTTCGTATGGTTTTCTAGTGTGAAAAACCGTTCGCAAAATGTGAAAACTTAAAATTAAAAGAGACGCATAATCCGTCCACGTATATTTTTTTTAACATTTTTTTTTTAATTGTAAATATTACTAACTTTCAATTTATGAATGTTGATTGATTGATTGTAATCAATTTTTTACACTAGTTTCAAAATTATATTAGCTGTTTATTTATGACTTTTTTATTGATATTTTTATTTATAATTTTTTTATATAACTGTATTTTAAAAAGAAATCCAAAAATATGGTAAGATAATTATATATTATCACTGTTGACTCTGTGAGCTTTTGGGCTTTGGGAGAGATCATTCATGTTCGCTACGACGGAGGGTAGCAGCATGCTCCATGGACTAGCTAATTACGGCCCACTAATTCAATTAACTAATTAGTCCAAAACGTTTTGGGCCATAAAGAAATTGGCCAAGTAGAAATTACATATCATATCAAATTTTATGCAACTATACATATTTTTACGTATCTATTCTCTCTATTTCACTGTCACTCAACAATACTAGAGACAAAACTAAAATTTACTTATCAACTATATTTTTTTTCAATTTTTTTTTTTTTTTTTTTTTT